TGTGTTGGAGAAAGGATGTGCTTGTGAGATTGTTCTCTTATGGCCGAGAACGATGGTCCAATATGCGGTGGCGTAACCATCGTGAGATTGACCCCACGTACCTAACTTGGCAGTTAGGACAAGCAAATAAGTATACAGCCTTAGAACATGTTAGCATGACATTTCGTAGGCTTTAAAAAGTGTGTAGCTAGACAAAGGTAAATTTTATTTGAGAGTAATTGTTTTGTAGAAGCATTTATAATTGTTTTCCAAAATCTAAGCATAATTTACCCATAAATGACAGTTTCACATATTTGTGATCCCTTTTTACTGCTGATACAGTGGGCTGATTTGAGATTTTTTTTTTTTTTTTGACATAGAAATGTCTTTGTAATTTTATCAAATAAATGTAGTGGGTATCCATTTCTTACAAAGAAATCTTTTAGAAAATTGATTTCATGGAAAAACGACCAATTGCTACATAGGTTATAGGCTCTAGTGATGATTGTTTTTATGCTGTTGATTTTGTAAATGTATGGGATATTGCTAAGAAAGTGAAGGTCGAGGCCAGTAAAGGTTGGTTTACGGTAAATTCTAGTGTGAAAATGTCCATTCTCATGAAACTATTCACGACGGTGTTAGTCTACCTCTTTGTTTTGACTGTTCGACGCTTATATATATATATATATATATATATATATATATATATATATATATATATATATATATATATATATATATATTATATATATTATATATATATTATATATACACCACACACAAATATATATATACACGTATATATAAGATGTGTGTGTGTGCCTGTGAATAGCGCATCTTTATAAACAGAATACACCACCTGAATGCACACAAATACGAGTGCCTGTCCTAGCGTGCGTGCGTGCGTGCGCCGCCCCGCCAGCCACTTCCTGCCACTCCGCCCGTGACACACGCTACCTGCTCTCCCGAGGGCGGCCTCTTATCTCGACGCCCATCCATCTCGATGCCAGGCGGACCCTCCTTCACACAGGGTCTCTCTGCAGCCTCCCACTCCGCCCTCGTGCCAAGCAGGACTTCTTTGGGTTCCCGGCCTTTATCTCTTTGGTTTGCGTCTGTTTAGAGTGTTTAGTGTGTTATGTTTGTTTATGTTTGTTTATTTGCGTTGTGTTTTTGTGTTATGTTTGATTGAATGTCGTGTAAGATGTAAGGTTTTAGTTGTTGTTTTTTCATTTTGCTGTTTTTCCCAATCACGTGCTTCCTTTTTTCATTTACTTCATTTAGCTTAACCCCATCCCTAACGCATGCTACGATACTTATAATAAAAAGTTGCAAGAAATCAGCATATGGTTCACTTATGTTCCTCCACTCAGAGAGGAAGCGAAGGACTCCCGCAGCCTCGCTTCTCCCGCCCCAGTTGGTGCAAGAGCCCTGGAACCCGGCGTCTCGAACCCGTAGACTTGTGAACTTT